GATGGGTCAGGAGCACCATCCATTTTCTGGTTGACCTGAGTGGAAAGAGTGTTAAGGACGGCAAGGAAGTTGAGAGATTTGATCAAAACATTTCCAGAGTCATATCCAGAAGCCTTTCAATACTGAGCTGATTGCAATTGGGCTCTGATGATACATGAGAGGTTGGCAGGGGACAGCAGGATCGTTTGCTGGGGAGGGACATGCTGGTGTCGGTGTGATCCAGAAGCACTGGCCTCGCCGTGTCCTCTGGCATTGTTTATAGGTCAATGGCAACTCAGATGGTGAAAACCACAACACATTTATTTTCACGTGTTGTAATAAAAAACAAGGAGTTTAAGGTTTACAGGGCATTTAAGAGGGGCTGTCTGTGTTTCCTAAACGGCAGTCACTTTATGATAACATCATGTCTTTTCATCTCCACCTGTTTTTCGTTTTTTTGTAGTGCTGAGGATTTAATCTAGTGTCTTATGCATTCTAGATAAGTACTCTGCCAGTGAGTTCCACCTCTAGCACTCTTTTCACTTTTTATTTGGAGATAGTCCCCCTCGGTTGCCAAAGCGATCGTTGAACTCACACTGTTGCTCAGGGAAACCTTGAATTTAAAGATATCCCTGCCTCAGCCACCTGAGCAGCTGGGATTATGGACCTGAACCACTGGGATTGGTAAATACACTTTCAAATAAGAAAAAAAAATCTGTAACCCCCAGATGATGATAAAAAATACACTTTCAAATAAGAAAAAAAAATCTGTAACCCCCAGATGATGATATTTTATCAGTTATATCCCTTCCTTATACATTACATTAATGCATTGCTGTAAACCCAGCATAAATTCCTACCTGGTTAACCCTTAAGCCTCCTTTTTGGAGACACAAGACCATCTGATGACATCCATTTCTTTTTATTTTAATAATTTAATCATTTATATTTTATGTGAATTGGTGTTTTGCCTATACATATGTCTGGGTGAGGCTGCCAGATCCCCTGGAACTGGGGTTACAAACAGTTATGAGCTGCCAAGTGGGTGCTGGAAATTGAACCCAGGGCCTCTAGAAGAGCACCCAGTGCTATTAACCACTGAGTCATCTCTCCAGCCCCAGATGCCATCCATTTCTAAGGGAAGGTTTTGCTCTTTGGGAAGTGAAATGGTTTTCTAGGTCATCTGTGTGCCTCCCAGTGGCCACAGTTCCAAGTGCTATGCCGATTGTGGTAGCACACTGAAATTACTGCCCTTGGGAACTTCTTAGTAAGGGACATGCAAGAACTAGGGGAGGAGGTATAACTTGATAGAGTGACACAATGTTCCTTTGGCTAGGATGGCCAGAGACTGCTAGGGAGTGGGGTACCTTTCACAGGAAAAAGCAAGAGAAGCAGAGTCAACTGATGAGAGCTTGCCTGCCATGCAGGAAGAAGAGTAGAGACAAGTGAGGGTTGGTGCCACAAAGCCTTAGTTCCTCCACTGCCTCCCCTGAGAACCCATTGTAGAATGCATCTTTTTATTTGTCTGTGTTTGGGGTTTTTTTCTGTTACAAAGGTTGACCAGTATACATCAGATTCCGCCTACTACCCTCTGCATTGAAATAAAACATACTCAGCTATGATCATGTTTGTAGCCACTTTGTCCCCCTCATGATAACCAAGTGGTTTATTATTGAGGTGGGCACTCACTGTCCCCTAATGTCCTTAAATACATACTATCTGACCTTTGCTAGAAATGTTTGCTGACCCACTAAAGCCATGCCATCATGCTCTTTGTCATTGTTACCAAAAATAAACATCAAAGAACATATTTTTTGCAGGTACTTATGGAAGTACAGTGTGCATTGTAATATGTTAAAAATTGAGGTCTCCAGAGCGAGTGCCAGGATAGGCTCCAAAGCTATACAGAGAAACCCTGTCTCGAAAAAAAAAAAATTGAGTTTCTGCAAATAGAAAATCTAATTGCATTGTTTAAAGAACTGTGTGCCAACAAAACTTTTTCAATATAGTGTTTTCAGAGGTAGTGTTTTATTAATGGTAAATTTGGAGAATACGGCATTCTGTGGTAACATAAAAGCAGAAGAGCCATAGCTACCACTGTACATGTGGACATCCACTGTTAGAATTTAAGTGCTCGAAAAACTATACCTGAAGCAGCCTGGTAATAGATCCTTCCGGGAGCTGCACCTTGGGTAACAATGTTATAAGTGTGAAGAGATCCCTATGCAAAGTAGCTCTGAGCTGAAGTCTCTTCGAAGCTAATTACTTTCCTCAAGCAAAGGGTCCTCCCTACCTCATGTGAAAGCACCATTCTGCTGACTTCACCTGGAGCTTCCAATTTTAAGGCCCACAAAAGGCCCAGGGCTCTGTGGCAGTGGTTTCATCTCTGGTGTAAGTTGCATGGATGAGCAGCAACTCATACTCTATTTTCTGCTGAATATTTCTATTTAGAAAAGAAAAGCTAGCAAAACCAACCCCCCCCAAAATGGGACTAGAACAAATTAACAATAAATGCATAGAAACGTGATAAAAGACTATCAGAGAGATCTACTGACAAAAGGTGTTGAAGGAGGTGAATTGTTGAGTCTTTCTACATTGGGAAGATTACTGAAAGGCAACTGATTTAGTATCATAACTGACAACACTGTCATCTCAGTAGATCTTTCAAAGTGTATATCTGCCCACTTATCATATCCCCTCTCAATTTCCTTCCTCTTCCTTCCTCTCAATTCTCTCTGTTCTTTTTTCTCTTTGTGTCTCTCCAGAAATCTTACCCCATATTTAAAAAAAAAAAAACAAAAACTTTCCAAGATCTCCCTATGGAGCCCTTCTTCTCTTTCTTCTTGAACTTCTAAATACTGTCCTGTCCTGAGCACCTTCCCTGCCCCCTTCTGTGAGCATAAGACAGAATTTGATAACTGAAAAGCAAATACAAAATGCGTTATTCTGACTTCACATGTACACAAGGACCAGGAGAAACTCAAAAGCAAATGGGATAAAATGAAAAGTAGCATAGTTGGCAACCATCTTTCTATTTAAAATTTGCCATTTTCTTCCTATTTTTTTGTGGTCTGCTTTTCACATAGCAACATGAAAATGTGTGTTTCTCCCTGAAATATTGTTGTGATCATCAAATGGCATAAACCATAATTTATTTAGTTTCAAGTTCCAGAGTCTACACAAAGCTGTAGAGACAATCTCTAATGGTTCAATTCGAATGAATACTTAAGGGTCACAGGTACACAGAGGCTGTATGGCATCAAGGCTGTGGCTAATTCCTAAGGACAGGTAAGGGACATTTGTGACTTCTACAAAAAAGAAAATAATGTGTGAGGTGTTGGAGAGAGAGAGAGAGAGAGAGAGAGAGAGAGAGAGAGAGAAAGGGAGATCAGAGAACACATATATGCCACTATGCATGTGTGGCGATCGGGGAACAGCGTCGGGTGCCAGTCCCTACCTTTCCACCTTGTTTGAGACAAGTTCTCTGCTGTCTACTGCTGCATATCCCAGACTGACTGTCCAAGGATTGTCCTATCTTTGTTTCATGTTTTGCCACTGAAGTGCTGGAATTCCAGAAGAAAGGCAAGATGTCCAGCTTTCAATGAGTTCTGGGTACTCAATCTCAGGACCCCACACTGGCAAAGCAAACTGAATCTACTTTCCAAGCATTTCCTCTTGTGTTTCATGGTAAAGCTTAATGCCATTCACTTAAGTCTTTTTTACCATGTTTCATCCATGAAAGTCACTAGGTGGAAGGATGATTGTCCCTTGTCTAGGGGGGGTGTGCAGGGGGGTGGGATTATGTCTTAGTGAAAGACTAGCAAATATAGGAATCAATCTTCGATCCTGCAAGAGCACAGATAGTAAAGATGGCTGGCTCATGGGCTAATCCAAGTGTGAAATAAGTTGCTTGGTTACCATTGTCATTTTACTGTATACATGAAATGTACTATTCACTCTGATACAAGGTAACAGGAAAATGAAAATCAAAGCCTCACTGCCCTCACCAATTAAAGCCAGGATGGCTTCCTGCTGAAGGTACCACCTCTTAGTTAACTGTAGCCCTTGGCAAGAGATACGGTGCTTAGACATTCACTTCTTAAGAGTTTGTTTGCCTATTGAAATTTGAACTCTTTTCTCCCCAGTGTATTTGCTTACCTAGTTAATATCTATCATCAAAAACATTCTTTCTTGGGTGATCTCTCAAAGTGCCCTCTATGTGGCCTGATGCAGGCAAGAGTCTCCTGGTGAAGACATGGCCTCATTGTATAGGCTTCTTCACTTCCTGCCTGTACCCACAGCCTTGGAGCACTCCGAGGATCGCTTTTCAATATAGAAAGAAACAGGCAATGCAGGTCTCTTGTGCATTTGTGCTGGGCAGGGGAAGGCTGTGGACAAGAGGTGTGATCAGGCAAGTTTTACTGACATCTAGTTGTGGAAGGTTAACAATCTGGCCAACCCCAACTGAATTCTGGGGCTCATGTTCAGGGACCAGAGGGTCCCTTTGAAACACTGAGGGTTTTTAACAGTTTCTCTTTAAAGAAATACTATCGTTTCATTCTGTTGGGCCAGGGAACAATGCCTCTTGTGTGTTCAAACTACTGGGAGCATTAATACACTGTTTCTTTAGAGAGATTCACTTTCCAAAGCAGAACTTTTCAGAACTCAGAGCACCTTATCACACTCTTGCAAGCTTTTTTTTTTTTTTTCTACTCTGAAAATGGAAAAAGAAAAGGTGGGGGTGGGGTAGGAAGCAGTTAGGACTTGCACTGGTTAAACCTGATCTCTCCAGGGATTTGTTTCTCTTCTGGCTTCAGATTAGATGTTCAAATCAAGCAGTGTGTGAGAACTGTGAGTGAATGTCCATGGGATTCTTAGCCAGGCTAATCCTGGAGCACCCGCACATTCCAAGGGGGCCAATCTGCCCAAGTTCATTGCTTACTTGAAATGTCTCTTGGGGGAAGAGCCTGGCAAGTGACTTTTTTTTTCCAGTGGGCGGTCATCCGAGCATTATTAGCGGGATGGCCAGCCCCAGTCACAGCAAAATGAAAGCAACAGGAACTGTGCAAGGGGACTGCCCAGCTACCAGCCAGAGTCGGTGCGCAGGTAAACAATTTCAGCTGAACTTTCTCTTGTTTGCCTTCTCCAGGTTGGATGTGGGAACTTCGAGGAAGACCAAAGGAACACAGAGGGGGTGGAGAGAATACAAGGGGAAATGAACATATATTTCAGTATTTTGTTCTGATAAAGACTGGGTGGCCTCTTGAAAGTGGAGACTGTGATGGCGAGCAGCACCGAGAAGTATTCTCATGCTTTGTTTCTAGAAGTTCATCTTCCTTTCTTTTTAGTCTTTGGATTACCTGTCTGGGTGACTGAGCTGCTAAGTTTGTGTTGCAACTGTTCCCTCCTGAGGAAGAGTTGAGTCTACAGCTAGGAGGGAGGTAAAGGAAGACATAGCAAAACTGTTGGTGGTTTAATGTCGATAGTAGAGATCGGGTGAAAAGGAGTGAAGCCTGTTTAAATGAAATGACTTGATGTTTCTTTGGTATAAGACACTATCTACAGGTTTGTTTTGCCTTCTTTCATCTTGATGCCTTACTGGTTACATGTTTAATTTTCAAAAGTAGCTCTTGCTTTTATTCCTTAGGGTAACTATTATACTTTGTTCAAAATGCAGATGTCCTTGTTTCTGGTTTAAAAAAAGAGGATGTCCTTTAATTATTAGCCTTTGAAAATGTTTCCCTATTACACATCACACATGGCTGGTAGTGCGGAAAGACAAGAAAGAAACAGCCGCTGACACAGTGGTTTGGTAACTGACCAGTCTACTTCCAGAAAAGAATGAACAGAAGTGATTTTCTGAGGGCTGATAGGAGGATAGGAGACTTCTGTGGCATAATTAAAAAGCAAAACTGTAGGGCAAACTCTCCACTGAAGTTTTGCAATAGAAGAGAACTGAAAAGTTAGCAGGAAATGCATGTCAGATGTGTTGCATGCTTTCTAACAATGAGAGTAATCATTCTGCACTAACTTGGTTGCATGTTGGAGCAAAGTCTAAAGCTTCATGCAGAGTAGACCAAAGTCCTTAAACAAAAGAAAAAGGGAATTCATCTAGGCAACAAGTTAAACCATGATTGTACATCAAAATACGCCCTTTCCAAAACAAAATTTAAATCGAGTATCTTTCCACACTAACAACCTGAATAAAAGCACAATGAAGCCAACCCAACAATATAGCAGAGTCAATTATGCATGTTTTGAAGAAGTCCTAAGTCGTCTGTTATGCAAACATTTCTTCCTATGATAAATTATACTCATCTCATAAACAAAAAGAGTCCAAGTTTGCTTTGAGGGACAGGAAGATCTTTTTACCTCACCTCTCTTTTCCTCCCAATTGTCTGATTACTCTGCTAATACTAAGAAACAAAAGTGGTTTCTTATCCATTCACCCACAAGGAGGTTGCTTTTGTTCTTGGAGAATGTAATTAAGTTGCTGGACTGTACACAAGCCAAATCACTTTCCATTGAAAGATTAACAAACAAATTGACAGTCCATATGTAATAACTTTTCTATACACCATCTTACTGATGCATGCAAGACCTCCCAAATTGAAACTAATAATAACAGTGTCCTTGAAGAGTCACATTCATTTGGCATGGCCCTCAGTTTTCTCAAGTTTAAAGTCCGGTTGTGATACCATTTCTTGGCTGCAGCAGAAATATTTCCCCCCTTCTTTAACTTCTGTCTTATGTATTAGAGTCTTCCTAAAGTGGCATCCTATCCATTACCCCAAGGGGAGAGGAAGCACAGGTGGCAGAGAGTTCACCCCCACCCCTATGTGTGAGGACTAGACTGGGGAGGAGGAAGGGGAAGAAACAAGTCTGAACCAGTTCTCTGAATGCCACTAGGAGTTCAGTGTGGTCCCAGGCATCTCAGATGGCACTGCACCCCTAAAGGACATTCAGAACCAGTACCGTCTCCTCTAGCAAAGCAATTATATCCAAGGGCTGAGCAGAAAGAACCTGGAACAAAGCTGTTCAAGGTCAAACTGTGGCTTTGGAACTCGCTGTATCTCCCTGACCCCATTTTTTTTTTCATTGATAAAATAGATGTAGTATTTTAGATGGTCCCTCTCCACCAGTGCTCTTCTGTGGAACTAAGTACATAATGGAACCTAAACAAATGTTAGTGGCTGTGCATCCTTGCTGAGCTCCTACTATGTGCTAGGTGTAAAATGAAATTCTTAGTCTGATTATCACAAAACCCTCCTTAGTAACTAGGGATCTATATGCTATACATGAGGCTCAGAGAAAGTAACTTTTCTTCATATCTTGTTAGTGGCCAGTCCAGTGCTTTATGATGCAAACATAGGGGTGGCCATTTTTACCAGTATCTTCTAGAACCCACATATGACCTATGAATTTATAGTATGAGGATCAACCCAGAAGTCTGGCATGATGGTGCATGCCTTACTCTAAGTACTTGGAAGGCTCAGGATAGTGATTGCTGCAAGTTTAAGGCCAGCTAGGTGTAAGCATGATTACCAGGCTAACCAGGGATATAGAGTGAGAACCTGTCTCAATAAACAAACACAAGCCAAGGTCAGTCTCTTCTTGAAGTCAAGCATGGTACTCCCCAAATAATAACAACCCAATATGTCATGCATTATTATTGTACCCAAATACAAATGGGGAAATTGAAGATAAAAAGAATTCTTAACTGTCCTCATCTATGAGGGTCCTACTCATGCTCTTTTCTCTGCTGTAGACATTACATCCCACACACGCTGCTTTTCCAACTTCCTCTCCTGGAACATGGGCCAGCATTCACTGAAGCAGGCAGATGATGCCCCAAAAGATTCTTTTGAAGGCTTGCCAGGATGGGCTACAAAAGTACATTCTTTCTCCACTCTTCCCCAAGGTGTAGGAAAAGTGGGTTTCAAATGTCCAGTGAGGAACGTCAGATAACATCAATGAAAGTATTCAGGGTTTCAGCACAATGGGCTATGAATAGTTTCATTTACAGGCTTTTTACGAAGATAAAGATGGGTTAGCTTTGCTGCTGAGCTCATTTCTGTTGCAAAGATGGAACCAGTAGCTTTTTCTACTGGTTTAAGAACTCTTGGAGAGGAGGTTTGTTTTTCTCTTCATGCCCTGCTGCAAACAAAATTTCAAGTGCCTTCTGTGTGCATGAGGATGCAGAGGTTCACTTGGACCTGGAGACCTTTGAGGCAGTGTGGAATGCTCCTTTAAATGAAGACAATGTAGGGAAAATAGAAATTATGTAACCCCATTGTGACCATTACTGGAACAGAATACAGTGCCTTGGTGGCTCTCAACCGTCCTCCAAATCGCCAAGTGTACAATATCCATGATTGTAAATATTAAAGAACTACTGCTCTGGATGCCACATGCATGCACCGACCTCCATTGTATGGGATCAGGGAATAAGTGAACACCAGAACTCACAAGGCTCAGATAGCACTGTGTGTCCAGGAAATCAGGACTAATTACACCTAGTGAGTGGGAGCTGGTATCAGTTCCCACCAGTGACTGTCATGGTTCAAGATGACAGTTCAAATGTGCATTGGGCCAGAATGTTTTAAGAATATGATTTTAGGTGTGACAGTGAGGTGATATCATATGAACTAGCTAAGGTTTGTTCCAGAAACATCCATCTTAAATACTTGTAAAGGAATCTTCTAAGAAATTTAGCAGGTTTCATGGAGATGTCTCTTCTGTTTCAAATTTTTCTGAAGGAAGTGGTCCAGGATCTCCAGGCTTCTGGCATTGTGACATGGTGTTTTCATCTACAAAAGTGCAGGGCTTCATTAATACTTATGGTTGGATAATATGTTCTACAGCCCATAGCTTGTATGTGCAGGATAGATGCTGCTTGCGTGAAAAATATCCTTCAGTTTGATAGAATGACCTTAGCCCATCTAGGAACCCCATCTCTATGGCAGGGGTCCTGAGTGGATGGTTTCAGCAATACCTTTTCTAAGAAGCCATACTTTTGTGCATGTATGTAGGATGTAAAGGGAAATGTGCCCATTCCCTTCCCAAGTATTACCTAGGAGCCTTGAGGTTATGCTTATGTTTCTCCTCTTTGTCTTCCCATTTCCATTTCTTCTGTATCACAAACTTGGATTTAAGGAACCTTAGTGGTGTAGCAAGGATTTGGAATTATGCACTCCTTCTGCCATTTTCCTTTCCTTCTGTAAGGAAACTCTAATAGAAGCTTCAACTATGAAAACCTGATACAGAACTAGATGTTTTTCCTCTGACTTTTGAATCTTTTCATGTAAGATTATAAATGTCATGTTCTGTTCCTTCAATTCCATTTCCTTTATGAATAATAGCCTTGTGTTTCTGTCCTTTAGGAATCATAATGAACAAGTCTACGGTCCCATTACTAACACTTTTTCCAGCCTGGCTATTTCCTTTAATTCTCAATATTATAATGTTAACCCAAGCAGCTGGTTCTGAGAATGGCTGGTTGGATGATATTCAGTGTGGAACCCATTTATGATATATACAGTATATTGTGTGATTACATGGTATTGCTACCTAGCCAAAAAAAGTTTTGAATTTTATGCTCAACTCTCTTCTTTCTCTCTCTCTTTTTTAGGCTCAGAAATCCTGGATTGAAAGAGCATTTTATAAAAGAGAATGTGTTCACATCATACCCAGCACCAAAGACCCCCATAGGTAATCCTGTTGTCTTTAATACATTAAGAATGTGAAGTGGTAATTATAGGAATAGAGTACAACAGTAATTATTACCACTGCAAGGGAACCACTGTCAAGTTAAATATATATTTGAAGCAAATATATATTGAACTGCTTAATATGCTTGGCTAAAGTTATCTTCAGATAAGTGTCTGTACACAGAGTAACAGACCCACTATTAGAGAAAGATTGATCCCTGTACATAACAACATACTATATTTTTGTTGCAAGTACTTATTTTCTACCTTAACATTTTTTCAAACTGTTTCATTGGTGCCAACATGTCCTGCTATAGTAAAAAAGAAAGTCTTGAACGAAAGACACCTAGGGTTTTAATTAGGGTTTAGTCTGCACGTTTTTGGCACTGTAGTTACCTTCCTGAAAATCAGCAGTATATAAAGCAGTAAGCTAAAATGGAAATGCCTTTTGAATGGGCAATTTTAAAAGGTGGCTTAAAATACAGATTTTTACAGCTATAGACTAGATACGCAATGTTGGATACATTGCTTAAGCTTCAGTGCTGCAATATTTTATTATCAGTGTATCTTAAATTGTTAGTGTTTAAGAGAATGCTATGTAACTATCATTACTAATAATTGTGATTATGGTCATCATAACATATGAAGGCATTTTGATGATGGGGGAAAAATTTTAAGTTTCCAATTTTTCAGTTCTTCTTCAAAGAAAATCCTATAGCTTTTTTTTTTATTCTCAGAATTGAGTATTTGACAACAAATACCAGTTGGAAAGACAAGTTAGATTGTGACTCACACGTAAGTGAGATTCCTCATTTAGATGTACATGTTAAAAGTTTACCCTCCGAGCTCTTCAGTATCCTTCATGCAAGATTTCATAGATGGGAGCAGTTAAAAGTGGAGAAAATATAGAGAACTTTTTTTTTCACAATTGCCCTCTCCCAGACAATATTCAGAGTACTTCAAGGTGTGGGTGGAGGGAGAACAGGATGTTGATAAAGATAAGCTGGGTGGTGGGCAAGAGCAGTAGATGGAGTGTTGTGGGAAGCCTCCCTCCACTGTCTTTTCTGATAAGACTGCATTCTGGGATTTTACCTACCACTGAACTGGAATGGGTCCGCACAGTCCATGGGTTTCTGTAACTGGCTGCTTGAGTGTATGTTCTAATAATGGCTGATTCAAGAGGTTCACTTTAACCTCTCATGTTATAGGTGTTGCTGTGGGCGCCTCATAGGCCAACATGTCGGACTCACTCCCAGTATCTCTGTGCTTCAGAATGAGAAAAATGAGAGTCGTCTCTCCCGAAATGACATCCAGTCTGAGAAGTGGTCCATCAGCAAACATACTCAGCTCAGCCCAACAGATGCTTTTGGAACCATTGAGTTCCAAGGAGGCGGTCATTCCAACAAAGCCATGGTAATAAAAAAAAAAAAAATTAAAAAGGCCACTCACAATATTTCTCATCCTGTAAAGGAACAGCTAAGAGCCTAGGTTGTAGATTTCAGGCTAGCCTGACCTTGTCACTTCCCAGTAAAATGTCTATAAAGTAGGAGAAAGAAACCTTCCCCAGCAGGGACTTTTTAAATTGTTGGTATAAGATCACACGATGAGCTAATTTTTACTTTGATTAACATGTATCATTGTATATGATCATGCAGTTCAATGTCATTTCTATATGTGTACACACAGCACTGCCCACCTCCCCCAACCAGCACCTTTATCAGCTTCTTTCAACCACTCTTACTTACGTTCAGATCCACCACTCTCTGCCCTTCTTGTATGAGAGAAAAGGTCATACTTGTCTTTCTGAATCTGGCTTGTTTTCTGAAGCTACTTACAGTTTGTAATGTTATTTTCTATGTCTCGTCTACTTAGCCTTTTTCTAAATCACCCTAGATTTGGAGAGAGAGAAAAAATATGTTTCCTTTAGGTTTCTATTTTGTTTTATTAGCAGCATTTCCCAGGATGTTTCCTGGTCTTGACAGAGATCTTGTAATCCATATCAGTACCTTCTCTCCAAGTAGCTGGGTTAATAATATTCTCAATGGGAAAGGAAAATGCCTTTAGCGAGGAATTGGAAAATATATAGAAATTTTGTCATGTCTAAACTCTAGTTCCCATGGACTACACTTAATGTGACTTGCAGAATTTTCAAAGAATAAAAAGTAAAGCAAGTTTTCTGAAAATTCTGGAAGTTTTGTAGTTCAGCAGGCTTGCTTCCAGCTGTTGAAAAAGTTAGACAATGCTGGGCATGCCAATGGGTGTGAACCAATTTAGCCTGCATTATTAATATTCTTATTTTCCCCATGCTCTGAAAGAACTTGGAGAAACATTCGACTCATCCCTTAAAGGATGTCCCTTTGATCCATGCTTTTGTTAGTTCATATACTTTAATTTACATTTTCAGGCAATACATGTATAATTCTGAAAGGTTAGACCTTGTAGCTTACTGGCTGACTTTTGAATAGGAATCCATTGGCATTTTATTCACAGCCTGGTGCTGTCACTTGCTGGTTGGGTGATTGTTCAATTTAAGCCTGGTGCCTTAGTTTCTTTGCATATAAAGAGGGGTAGTAACTTCTACTTCGTAGAACTATCTCAGGGATTAGCAGTGCTTCTGTGTATTAAGGGCTTTGAATGATGGCTGGTGCTAAAGCTACAGAAGGTTTTACTCTGAGAAAAACTTTGTACTCAATCAAAATAGAAGTGTGCTCCTAAAGTCGAAGAACTAGATAAATTCTCACTGTCTGACTGGAAACTCTTTGTTAAGCCATTTAATTTATATGAGCCTCAGGTGCTCTTCCTAGAAAGCTGGTAAAGTTGCCTTCTGTGAGATGCATGAGGACAATAGACCCCTGATCCGCAGCTAGTGTTCAATGGATGGATGAAAATGATAGAGATGAGTCAGGGAAATAATTTCCTGTACTTCCTGGAAGTCCAAAGATCCAGTAGAGTATTTCCACAGGGGTCCTGGCTTTCTTTTGCCCCACAGTTTAATCTGCTCTGTGAAAACAGTATTTGTGACACTCACCATCAGGAAATCTAGCTAGAAGTTTGTGAACTGATGTCCACATTCTCTCTGTCCCCAGCAGTCACTCATACCAGCAAATCAGAATGAGTTATGTTACCTGGGGTCCTTCCTATCTTAATCCTTTTCCTCTCCCGTCGCTAACCTGCTGTGGATGTGACGTTAGAATGAGCACAGCAAGAGCCCTTTTGTTGTATAACTTTCCTCTACAGGAAATCCTTTTCATCTCCTGAAAATTTCTGGTGAACTTGAGAGACCACCCCCAGAAGCCCGGAGAGCAAAACTCAAAATGAGGTTATTAGTATGTGTCCTTCAAAATGTTCAGCAAAATACTTTGGCAATTTCTTTCATGGCCTGTAATGAATAATAGTCGTGATTATAAATGAGCAACCGACTATCCTGCAATACCCTCAGATTTCATTTCCCCATACATATTCACAGATTTTGTTGGGAGCTATGATCAAACCCATGCATGGTCTGCAAGTATCTACCACTGAGATACACATCCCAGTTCTCAGAATTTCAAGACAAAACCTCAAGAAAGTGAACTCTAAGCACTGCATTTCTGGGCACTGTATTGCACATACTATGATGCTGACCCTGAGGTCAGAGTGGCCCTAGGTGGTCTAAGGGCAGTCACTCTAAGGGCAACCCTTTCTTTCTGTCCAAGCCTAATTAGCCTAATGAAGACCAGCTTTGCTTTTCATTACTACTGGGTATTTAGTGAGTGGAAATCCTCAGCATTCATCCAGACACAAACAAGCATCTTGTGCACTCTGAGAGTTCGCCCCAGAGTTGTTCTGCTTCTCCTGTCCAAACAAAGAAGTGGTGCTGTCAGGCCTCATTTTACGAGGCAGGGCAATGGATGCTTGCCAACCCAAGCCTCCCTTGCTTCCCAACCTCTTGAGCAAACCAGCATGCAGTTTGGACAGACAGACTTGGCACCCACTTCCTGTGGGGGGGAAAAAAAACAGTCTTCATGAGAGCACTGTATGGTTAATTATTCTCCAAACTGCAGTTAGACAGGCCAGTAAACTTAATATACTTTTGGGCCATCACTTCTGAAAGGTGTCCTTGAAGTGATTTTTAGCAAAGTCATCGAAACACTCTAAGGGCAAGATTGACTTATTTACTTTAATTAAGGGAAGATATAACATTAACTTTTTCCTTCAAGGCAGCCCAGGATACAGCTGTAGCATTTTCCAAATGCTGAGGTGGACTGCACACAGTGAGGCAGGCAGCAGGAGGAACAGACTCATTATTAAAATGCCTCCAGTTATGCGAGAGCCATAGCTAGGTGTCTGTCCTACCACATGTGTGGGGTGGCAGTATATCACAGACCCTTAAGCATCAAAGGAACTTGGGGGTCATAATCAGCGGTTCTTGACTTGGGGGCACAAAATAACAGGGAAGGAAGGCCATATCTAAGAGGCACGTCTGGAGTCTCATTCATTAGCCTTGGTGAAATCATTGGATATAGACACAGCAGTTATTCCACTGTGCATCCAGCCTTGGAAAATTTAATCTCCATCCCCTCGTCCTACAGTATAGGTGAGATAATTGAAGCCCCAAGAAGGTAAATTATTTTCCCAGAGAAAGTTCTTAAACCCAGCTTCCTAATGACCCCTTTTCCATTTTCTTTTTTTCTTTATCATGTGTGCCTCGGACAGATGACAGTCACTGTTTTATTTGGAAGTTATTTGAAGGTGATTGAAAGGAAGTTAATTACTATTGTACTTATACCCTTTGAATAGGGGTTTTATAATGTTTTGTAGCAGAATTTTTAAATCGATAATATTTAATGAGGTTAATTAAACTGGAAAGCTTTGAGCAAGGGGAAGTCTTTGTAAAATTACATCTTAGATCATTAGAATCAGTTGCCAAGTTCTTTCAAGTGCTTTGTGGTGTTGAGAACTCGGTGTCCAAGCTTAACCAACACTGTGCAGAGAGAAACTATGACATAGGAAGGAGCCAATCCAAGCTGACAGTGAGGGAAAGAGCCTGACATCCTGCCCATTCCTAAGATACATCCACAAAATGGCCCTGTCAGCAGAGATTGTGAGGTTTCTTGGAGACTTGTCTATTGAGGGTTCGTTCCCGCATGATTTATAAAGTGAGCAGAATATGGACTCATTTGTTTACAAATCATCTCTTCTAATTAATGCAAAACTGGCTTGTGGGCCAGGTAAGGCTAAACCTAATTAAGGGTTTGCAGTTAAACCTCTCAAGCCAGCCACACAATTCTCTTCTGGCTCTCCTCTGCTACTTAATGTATCTATTAGATCATGGGGTGTCCCTCAGTACACTTTTCATATAATTTAGAAAATTGTCCCTAGCCCTTGTTTTCACACTGAAAGCTCTACCTATTGGCCCCACAAGGGTGAACGCCTTGCTCTCTGAGCTCTGGGGGAGGGGACCACATAGTAGGGAGGTTACCCCTGTTAGCATGGTGTCTGTAACCATATACTCTTAGAGAGTTTTAAGGATTGAATTTGAGGTTTAAAAATTGTCTCTCTTTACATTCTGCAAATTTTATCTGATTAACCCTTGATTAACACATGCCATGTGGGAAGTGGTTAAAAGATTCCTCTTCATACATATGAGCAGCCCATCGCTGCACTACAGCTAATACTAACAGGAAGCTTCCTCCAGCCTGATGGGGCTCTGGAGAAACTTTGTGATTGCCCCACTGATTTCCAGTCCACCTTACAGTCTGAAGGCTGCTAAACTGGCAAATGGATCAGATGGTCTCTCTGAAATGAATTAAGGTAAAGACAGGATGCAAATTAATCCCAGCACTAGGGAGGCAGAGGCTGAAAGGTCTTTTGTTAGTTTGAGGCCAGTCTGATCTACAAAGCAAGTTCCAGGACAGCCAGGACAGTTAAACAGTTACACAGAGAAAACCTATCTTGAAAAAACAACAACAAAAAAAATTAAGGTGGATAGTATGGTTGATGTTTCCCATTCAGATTATAGGTATATAAAGTAAGGGAAGCTGAATCTCCTCAGAAAACTGTCTCAATTCCTTGCTTCTAGAAAAATGCTATAATGAATAATTCTAACAGAAATCCCATAGACTAGCCTCCGTGACTCCTGTATGTGCTTAGTGACATTATATGTTATTTCTCACTATTGAGCTTCCCATTATCAACATTAATCATATAAACAAACACCTGATATATAACATTGGAAAACTTCAAAAATAATGACATTTCTACTTCCCAAGTTATGAGTGTCATCAAATTAGAAATTTGAATGCATTGAATGAATTCCGAATGTTTCCTTTCTGGTGAGATTCTTCCATCTACTGAACCACTGTAAGCATTAAACTCTGGATGCAAGGCAAAGGCTCTGTGAACTTGGGAAACTGCTATCGGCAGAATTATCT